ACGCTGAAGAAGTCATGGAGGACTGTCTCCTATGGGGACCCCACATTGGAGCAGGGGAATTGCGTGAGGAGTCCCTCCCCCTGAAGAGGAAGGAGCAGCAGAAACAACAGTGTGATGAACTGACCCCAACCCCCATTCCCTGTCCCACTGCACCGCTCCGGGGGAGGAGGGAGAGAAATCAGGAATAAGTTAAGCCCAGGAAAGAATGGAGGGGTGGGGGGAAGGTGTTTCAAGATTCGGTTTTATTTCTCATTACTCCTCTCTGACTTAATTGGAAGAAAAAATGGTACACGCTGAGTGATCTACCTGTCCTTATCTCGGCCCAAAGCCTGTTGTTATATTTTTCTCTCCCCTGTCCAGTTGAGGAGCGGGAGTGATAGACCCGCTTTGGTGGGCACCTGGCATCTAGCCAGGGTCAAACCACCACATCAGTACTGGGCTGCTCAGTTCAAGAGGGACAGGGAATTAGGACAGAAGAGAATCCAGCAGAGGGCTACTAAGATAATTCAGGGACTGGAGCATCTCTCTTACGAGGAAAGGCTGAGAGACTTAGGGTTCTTCAGCCTGGAGAAGAGAAGACTGAGAGGAGATCTTATCAATTCTTATAACTATCTAAAGGGTGGGTGTCAAGAAGATGGGGCCAGACTTTTTTCAGTGGTGCCCTGTGACAGGACAAGGGGCAATGGGCACAAACTGGAGAACAGGAAGCTCCACCTGAACATGAGGAAAAACTTCTTTACTCTGAGGGTGACAGAGCACTGGAACAGGCTGCCCAGGGAGGTTGTGGAGTCTCCTTCTCTGGAGATATTCAAAACCCACCTGGATGCAGTCCTGTGTGACCTGCTGCGATGTGAAGTGGCCAGCAGAATTGAATCTCATTTCTGTCATAGCCATGATGAAGACATTTGTGATCAGCATGACAACACTCTGTCAATCAGTATCCTACTGCCTCTTGCACTACTAACTGCTACTTGAGCCATGTTTCCTGTTGTAAGCTACTCACTACCCAATGAGCTGGACAGGTGAAAGGAATTTATGGATTTTCACAAACAAAAATAAATACCTGCGAAGTCACCACCGCTAATATTTGGTCTCACATTGACAGCTGCATAGATAGGATAGGGATTCTGGGCCCATTTCACTGCTTCTTGCTGATCAGACAGCTTTGATGGATCTTCCTGGTCACAAGCAAGGAAGGAGAAGCACACTTTAGTCAGATGAGTTCTGTATCCATACTTTGAAGCTTTTGCTTAGCATTTCTGACTAACAATACTACTAATTTAAAGTCCCTTTTCCTCACTCTGCCCATGCATGTGGTTAGATTTTGCCAGAATATTTCTGCAAATATTTAGAAAGCATGGTGTTATTAATGAACTACAACCCCCTGAATTCCAGTTTCAGTTAGCATAGCAAATACTGCACAGTAACTCATTTTGCAAAACCAACAACATTCTCTCAGGCTTAACCTACCCAATACAAAAGCTATTAATTTAATAAGTCATTCCAAACAAACATGACATTTTTCTATAGCACTGATCTACAAGACTTTAAAATTCTTTATTAAAGAATGGAAACCTGGGGCAGAAAGAGATGAGAACTCCCTACGTTTATTGCACAACACCATCTCTATTCCAGAACAGCTCACGAAGGTAGAGAGTAATTGGTTTCTTGACACACAACACGTGGGTGGGCAGAGCTCCCACTTGGAAGACAAACAGCAGTTCACATTCAAACATGAACTCTTTTACCTTCTGTTGTAGGAAATATTCCACAATAAGGCCCCACAAATCTGTAAAGGAAACGTTCCGTCCACTAATCTCCATTGCATTCAGCTCCCGGAAATAGTATTTCAGTCGTTCTGGGGAAAATGCCCCTGCTTTGCTGCTGGACACAGTACCCTGAGCTCTTCTAATTGCATCTTGAAGGTCTTTCTGTGACCAGTCAGGGTCTTGATACAATGTCGATAAACACCTGAAAACGCTTATATTAATGTCATCAGTAATAACAACCCCCATGTAAACAATGATTTTAGCTAGTTATAATTAGTGCTGCAGCATTGAACTAAAAGCTTGAGAAGTCTAGCTAAAAGATAAAGCATTGTGAAGAAAAGAGGCCATAATAGATCTCTGAACTCTAAAACATGCAGAAGACCCTGACAACTACAGGACAACTCATCCCAATTGCTAACCTAGATTTAAAGGATGTTCCAATCATCATATTCTGGCACACACGAACCAGTTCATAAATATAAGTTAAGTCCAGCTCATAACAACCCTCAGAGACTGGCTGACAACAAGGGTGCTACTGCATACAGCAATAGAAGCCATAGCCTTCATCAGAACACAGATCTGATTAAATGAGAAACTAGTGTGGACTGTTGGCTATCCACATGAACAGATGCCCACACTTGTTTGAAAGTCTGTCTCTGAATCAATAGGGAAAGGCCAGATCACAAGGTTAGTGGAATGATACTAGGTACATAGCAGTTAATTTAACCCATAAAGCTCTGGAAAGAAGGATTATACTGTCAGATTGCACAACTCCTCAGTGAAACCATTTCATGAAAACCATATGTACTCATGAGAGACAATTTCACCACAAACTCCAAGAACTGAGCTACTGGAACATTCTAGCCACGTCTAACATTTCAGCACAGTGCTCCAGCTCACCAAAGGCAAGCCGGTGCTATTCCTCTATTCAGCCGCATACGCCATTTTGGAAGGTGGTGACACAGTGGTCCATGCAGAAATGTTTCCAGTGACTTGAACCACCTCAGATACCTTCTTGGCAAGAGCAAGGAAGCGTGGAAAGTGTTTTAAGTCATATCACTGAGGTAACACACAGCAGTTTCATTCATGTAGTAACTTCAAATATTCAACTGCCAGGCTTGCAAAAGCAGCAGATTCATGAATTTAGCCAGGAACTGAATGGGTTAGAAGTTATAATGAGTCTCTTAGACTCTTTAGGATCCCCATCAGAACTCACAGATAAGAACTGATAAAATATTTGACTTTGTTGTCTGTCTACAGATGGCCCAAATGCAGTTTTGGTCTTATTTTACATCAACACTACCATATTCACCTATAAGTTTCTGGAATCAACACTGCATGTAACTCACCAAGTAGAGCCAGAAATACCACACAGATACATTGCAGCATCCAAAAGGCCCAGCTGCTGAAGCCCGGCAAGACTGCCATAAAACGATGTCAGTGCTCTCATTCCACCTCCAGATCCCAGTACTGCTATGACTGGAACCTGCAGACAGCAAACTCAGGAGTCGCAAGCACAGACTTTTGAACTGCCAATAAATTACAGAACTGATTGCATTTAAGTCTTATTCTTATAAAAATAAGAGATAAAAATCTCTATTTCTATTTACATTTCAAGTAATTTCAGGTTTGATTTCAACCAGAACTCCTTTCTCTACTTTGTAATTGAAATATATTGTTTACTATAAAACATAGCAGTGTCACCTTAGGGACAGTCACTTACTGAAATTGTTATCACACATTTACTTGCATGCCATACAATATACACATAAGAACGAAAGAAGGCAATTATTCTCATAACAGCATCCAAAGATCACAGAGAAAGATATCAGGCTATCTAGATATACCAGTGTCTTCAAATCAGCAATTAGGAAGCTCTTCCTGTGGGCTGAGCTTCAATTTAACCATTCTGAAACAGACTTTCCCATCACAATTCAGAGCTCAAAGCCCAAGATACAAAAATTCAACTAAAGAAAGTACAAGTGCATACGTTCTGAAATTTTACTTTTTGTGTGTTCCAACACACATACATATCCCTCAAAATTTTAGAAACATAGCAACATTTGAGACTTCAGATCTGAAATGCAACAGGGATCTATCTCACACCATGGTAAATGCAAACCATGTTTTGGTTACACGCAAAGAATCCTACAATATCTGATTATCAGCCAAGTACAAAGGATTTTATGAATCTCACTACAGCACTGTGCTGAATACCTGATCTTTTGGAGGAGATTCTTTTAATTGAAGAGTCTTCCTCAGTGCCTCAGAAACTATTTTCTTCCTTTTGTCCAAAAAATCTCTTTCCTCTTTGCAGAGGTCAAAACCCAGACGTATGTCAAGATCCCAAGTGCTGAAATAGAAATTAAGACAAGAAAAACACAATTTTGGAGGATTTGTAATTGCCAGGGAAAAGCGATTTCTGTGAATACACAATGTAGGTGCTGACGTGAATCACCAGATCAAACTCTTAAATGAAGTTTTAGTGTATGTCTATATACCAGCTATTTCGTAACAACAGCTTTTGGAATTAAAAAATGAACTTTCTCCCTATTGTATTTCACAAAGGAAGAAAAGATTCTCAGTAGGTGAAGAAGACTGTATAAGGAGCAACTGAGATCACTGTATTGACATGGATGGAGAAACGAGGGGAAGAGCGACTGATTTTAAAACAGAAGTTTCTGAACTTCAGAGGCAGAAGGGGAAAACTGAATACCAATAAACTTGCTATGAGTTTGTAAAAGGGGAGCAGGATCTTCAGTTAATGACTATATCTCAAATGACACCTATGACTTCCTAGCTAATGGCTCAATTTTGTGTGTTACTCTTCCTTTAACATTCCTTTCTTGCACCCTTCCTCTATTTTACGGTTCAAACTCCTCAGACACTGAGATGTCCTTTCCTATTTGTCAGTACAGCACTGCACATATTCTGGGAACTATCTGTACCTAACAAACCTACTTAATATTTACACCATCAGCTATTTTACATTGAAGTATTGGGAACACAGAATTTGTTCAGATTTCTTTCACCAATCTAACAGATAGTATCTATAAAGTGAAGAATCACAGCCTTCAGAAGAAAAATAAACAAAGATATTTCTTTTTAATCTATCCCAAGAGATCAACAGAGACAATACACCTCCCTAGAACACTGGGGAGAGTCACACAGCTCCTTCACTATGCAGATAAAGGCCTTTTTTGAAGTCTTCGTCATTCCCACTCACCTCTCTTCAGTTTTCAAACTCATATCCAAACTTCGTCCCTATGAAAAGAGAGAACACATCTTGCAATTCATAGCAACTACATAGGTGGAACTACTAACTAGAAGTCATGACATCAAGAGAGTCACTAGCTACTAACCAGAACAGCACTCTCACCCACAACACTGCATCCCTGGAATACCTTTCCCTCCCACCTATTTCAGACATTTTCAATAGCCTCCACAGAATGTAAAAACATGTGCTCAAAGACCAGGATGAAAAAAGTTATTTCTTCTCCAAGCTTCTTATTTTTATCCTCTTCTGATATTTTCCTATCACACACTAACAGATTTTTTGCTTTGAAAAGTGATTAATTTTATTTTGCAAGACCCAGCTATGAAAAAATTCCAGAATCATACTGAGTAATCTCAGTATTTCATTCTAGATATTCAAGAGAAAAGCACACCTAAGAATCATGTGCAGCTTAACTTTCCAAATGCCTATAGGCAATAGGGGAAAAAGTTATCTCAAGTATGTTAAAACAAGTGCAAAATGTTGACATTACCTCTCCCAGAGAAACGATTCTATCAACTTTTTGTCCAACAGGAAGGGAATTAACTGGTACAGTCCCCAGTCCCAGAATGGTAGTATGCTTTTCAATATCAGGGTTCATACCATCCTAACAAAAACCAAAATGCTATTATTTGAGCTCTCCAGAAAAAAGTTAAAGATATGACTTTATATGTCAAAACAGCAAACAATCCTTAAGATCATTATCACTAAATCTTTCCTAAAAGTCTAAAGCTTTTCAAGATCATCCTGCTCTCTGCTTGACAGATCTTTGCTAGGATTGTCACTCAAATAGCTTCTTTTTTTTGTTGTTTTTTTAATATAGCTGTCTGCCACAAGCAAAAAAACCTTTGTCTCCCAATATAAATTTTCCTTGAAAAATAGTTGCATTCTGTCTTCACAGCCGGATTTGGAAAAAATATCAAGAAGGCAGCAGTGTTAGACATACAGAAAAAATACCACAAAATAGGAAATAAGACAGCCTTAGGGACAAATGGGAGCATGTAATTAAAAAACTTAATTATCTTTATAAGCAGAGCAAATTAGTTTTCCAGGAAATCTTTGTGTTTTCTCCCATTAGCTCAGACGGCTAGGTTAATAATAGTGCAGTTTATTGGAGCAGCAATAGATACACAAGTTCTTCGGATTACTGGTGATAAACTCACTGTCTGCAAAGCATGTGCAAATTCCAAACAAGAATAATACAGCCTGGCTATAAAACACATCAAGTTATAAAAGCAACTCTATAGAGACTTCTAAGTTTCCCAGGGAGCACTCGGTGTAACCAAGTGTTCAAGTCTTACCCAAAGGCATCCCTACAGGGCAGCAAAGAGAGGCTCAGCCCGTTGACTGATCCCAAAAGTCTAAGATGGTCCATCACTAGTCATCGACGATATCTTCCCTAACATCCTCCTCTTTCAAGCTATTTTTATACTATTTTTTACTTTTCAGGTGGAGCTTGAGTGACTAGTCATTCATACCTTTATTATGATTGGTGTAAAATTCTCTCGCTTCTCTTTTAAAGGTATAGACTAAAAAAATTCAGGGTGCAAGCTCAGTGAGGGGTGGTTGCACCTTGAAGGCAGGTAGCTTTTGGGATGGAGGTGTGTTTTGGTATTATAATGAGATTATAATGAGCAAAGTTCCCCCAAAGGACGATATTATATCAAAAAATGACGGAGTGCTGGCCTAGGGTAAAAAACATGCAGCTTATCAGTTCCATAGTACCATCAAGTTCCCATCCTGGTGGTGGTATCGCAGAGCCTGACCGGGGTGTCTTCAGTCCCTTGCCCTCCTTGCTGTTTCTCTTAGAGTCAGCACATCAAGCTCCCCTAATGTTGCAACACCTAACATTGCCTAGGGAACGTCTGTGGAATGGATTCCTTGCATGCATACCAGCTGCACTCTGCTTTTGTACCTTTCATCACCTTGATGTGCGAACAATGCTGTACCTTTAATATAAGTGTAATTCCTAAGTCACCCCTAGCAATTATTCCACCTAAGTGCTCTACAAGTTTCTAATACAAAAGATTTGCTATAGAGTATCTCAACAGCTGGAAGTAAAGATGTCTTCATGTAGCAAGCACATGCACATTCAGATTTTTTTAATCCCCAAGTTTGAATAGATTTTAATGTATAGGGTATACTTTTAAGACAAGTTCACCTCCTTACCCAATATCAAAGATCCAATGCAAAGTCTGACATTTTTATTCGATTTAAAATAAAAAAATAGTAGCGTGTAAAAAGCAATCAAAAAGAAAAACTTATCTCTCTGCCCATCAATTCCTAACACATAATAAGAAAAATACATCCATTCAAGACAGGCTTCTAGCCTAGAAAACTTAATTCTGTAATGTTGTAACTGCTCAGATCAAAGTTTGATCACAAAGGTATATCTGCGAGTGATCAGTAACCTTCAAGACAGATCGTCCCTAGCACCACATACATACAGTTCTCCACAAGAAATTTGCTTCCAATGCAAGCTTTTGACATTCACAGGTACCCAAATACTGACATCCCAGAATATCTGAAGAAGTCCCTGGCTTTCTTATCATCAAATTAATGCCCCTCAATTTATGTTTAAGGACACTTTCATGGACCAAAAGGCACCAGTTTCAGAGTGGATTTATTCAAAAGTGGGCTGTAAACTTTGTAGTAGACAGCACAGATGCTTACCTGAAGGACAGATATGGTTTGCTCCAGCTCCACTTGCAGTTCTGGACACATTTCTTTATCCATGTGAAAGACAAATGAGGTTCCATAATCCTTCTCATTGTCTGGTCTCCAAGGAATACACAACTGCTTTTGATACGCCCCTGGAACAGACACCTTGACCTCACAGCTCCCTGTGCATTAGAATAATAAGTTTAGACCACAGAAGACATTCAAACAACTGTTGAAAATCAGATACTTAAGCGTAGCTGAGACTACGAAAATGCAAGGAAAAACTCTCTTGTGTGGAAGTGACCCAATATTATTGGGTATTAAAAATAAAAGCAAAATTAAAAGTCAATTTTGTAGTCAGCAAATAAAAATGCACTATATAGACAGAGAATCAAGTCTCTCCTCTCTCCCACGAAATAAACATGCTGAAAAGTAGGTCTGACAAACTCTGCAGGCAGCCCTACCTTGCTGCTTCTCTTTTGCTTTTTCCTCTTTGTTCACATTGCCCTGCAGAGACAAGCAAGGACGAACCTATGAAAAGAAGAAACCTGCTCTGGTTATGAGATTTTTAGTTCACTGTGTTGAAGCTTAATCCACCTACTGTATTAGGTGTAGGTTTACATCTGCGAGTTGTCAAAAAATAATTAAGGACTATTT